CACGTTTTTACCATAATAAAAAGTTTCCTTTCTTCTTTTTCGTTTATTTCTTTTAATAAAATTTTCAATACTGATTTAAATACTGAGAAAATATAGTTTCCCTTTAATTTATTTTTTTATTTTTCTCCCTTTTTAACAGCCTAACCGTGGATTAAGTAATACTATTTTGCACGTTCCATTATGAATCAGCTTTTACACCTCGATGAAGCTAATTACAGCGGAATGACATTCCATTCGTAACAATCATTAGTCAAGACAAATAGCCACACCGAAACTGGGACTCTGTAGATAAAGTTTCACAAATATTTTTAGGTCATTGAATATTTCGGAAATATTTTTGTTTCTTCTTATGAATTACCTTTCTATATTCCCTACTTAACATGAGTATACACAGAAGATATATGCATAGCATATATACAGTATATATTTAATCTACCTATTTACAAGTCTATTTATCTTTTTATCTCTCTCTCTCTCTCTCTGTGTCTCTTTCTCTGTCTTGCTCCCTAATTCAACTCTTTACCATTTTCCCTCAATATTATTCTTTCCGAATTTAAAATTTCTCGCTTTCTTTCCTCTTTTCAAAACCTACAAAGAAACAACAAAAAAATGTATTGAATGAAATGAACGTGAAATCATCAATAGGAAATACCTAATATTTCCGCCTGTAAGAAAAAGCGCCGTGTTAATAAGAAAATTTGTATTGCATTTTACTCTTTGCACGTGTTTAAAACTTGTAGGCTTTCGGAATTACAATTAAAAGACAGTTTTATCAATTTAACTGTAGAGGCTCCAGTTTTATTCGACATATCAAAAGTAAAGTTAGGCTAGCAAAGATATAAGGCTACAGTCTTGAAAGAAAAAAATGCAAATGGTTGTCAAGTGTATTTTAAAATGACTTCTTTTCTTATAAAACACTAAAAATGTTAACATGTCATACATATATACAGATATTTATATATACACTATATATAAATGATGTATCATAGTCTATTTCATTCACTTTGTTATGAATTTCAATTCATATAGTCGTGAATACATGAATACAATTGTATCATTAAACGAACTTTTTAGTATAGAATTAACTACATTTATATCTTTACTTAACAAAAAAAGTTGATGAAGTAATAACGTATTTTATAAAGTAATCAAAAGTTCAACTACATTTAATCAATTATGCAACAACTGTTAAATAATTAACAATACATTTATAATAAATACATTACAGGTATATACAAATAATATAAAGATTATCAGATTGAATAGCTAGAAAATCGTGAAAAATATTTCAATTCTCCTCTTTTTTTTCACTTTTTTAATACAAGTGAAAGAATTTCAGATAAGATATCTAACGACTATAGATAGCTATTTAAATTAATTATTATCATATCTTCATTTGAATAGTGAACTTTACACCGTTTCTACAGGAAATTTCAAATTCCGGAAGCTGCTTATTCATAGAAAGTACTTATTATTCACAAAAAGATAAATGTGGGGGAGGTTATTTTCTTTTCTTTTAACAGAATATTGTCGTCTTTTGATTATAATATGCTGACTAATTACTTTAATATAATTAATTATACATTAATATCTAGAGATACATGTATAAAAATATATATATATACTATTTGAATGGAAATATATACCTTTTTTTATATTGAATATATTTAAAAGGAGCATTATATTATATATCTATTTTTAATAAAATAACTATTTACTTTGCTATTGTTCACTATTGTTACATAATTGTTGTATAACTGTTTGAAAAGGAGCGTATTTCTCTTTACTAATACATTCGAGAAATGTTAAAATTATATTTAGTATAACGCTTAGAAATAGTATTGAAAGGAAAGTGAAAGATAAAGGAAGAAGGATGAGAGTTTTAGATAGTGAAGGAAAGACGAAATAGACGACTTTTCTATAATTCTAAATTATGTAGTTTTGCTATCAAATTATCAATTTTCTTCCTTTCTCTTATTCCAACATCTGAATAGAATATTCTAAATAAAATCTTCTTTGCTATATTGTAGAACACTCATATTCTTAGCAATAAAGTCTTATGTCAATAGTGTTTTAGAAAGACTGACCTTCGGCCAGGAGTAATAATGTTGAATATCAGCCTATAAACTTGACTCGTGCCGTTAAAGAGAGTGAACTTTCTTACTTGAATACATATAGATATATATATTTATAATACAGCTTGACTGTTTACATAACTATTTCTTGAAAAAATGATTTGCACTAATCTAATGTTGACACAGAGATCTAAAATTAACAATATCCAACTAATTATTGCACTGACGATTCATACTCTTATTTATGCCTTTTCTTTCTGTTTATATCCGTGTTTATGCTTATTACTAACTCTCTTATGAGATACTGTTGTTGATTACAATCTTGGAATAGAGTTGCTAAAAATAGAATACGAAGTGTAAATAATGTTCTATAATGGGTTTATAAAAGGAAATGTCAATCGAAAAAAATCATATCCTTTTCTAAAAATAATCTATTATTCCATTCATATTGCCCTAAATCGGGATCTCTTCACTTTTCTAATTTTTTTTCATACATCTCATGTGACCCAACATCCGTATGAAGACATATCCAAAAAGTAAAGGTTGAAGGTTCATAGCGCTGACGTATAGACCGAAAAACTAGCTACAGAACGTGAAATTTTCCATATTTTATTTGTTTTAAAAAAAGACTATTTTCAAAAAATATATGCATGCACGTACTTATATCTTTATGACTATACGGAAGATACATAATATTGACCAATAGATGGCCGTAGTTTTGTTTTGAAAAGCTATTTTATCTCTTTCCTACCTTTGTCATTTAATTTTAAGGTTATTGTGTTGAGCTATTTATAAATATAAGAGGAAAATAATTAACCCAGAAGACATTGACAATAGGATAGATAATAAGGCATGAATATATTACCCTACAAAATATCAAATTATAGTAAATTAGCTAGTCTTCCCATCTAAATATATATACATTTCTAATACAAAAGCACAGATATTGGAGAAGATATAAATTAGAAAAGTTTTTTAATAAGCTACAAAGTTATCGATCCATAAAAAGAATAATTCTAAATAATAAAAGAATACGAAAAGGAGGAAAAAGGAATAAGAGAGAAAGAAAATTTTATATTGAGGAAATTTTTTTAATACAGAATATTCTCTTTAGACGAAAATTTTCAATATAAGCTTTTTTTTAGAGACTGAAATTCCAAAGAAAAGAGCTATCAGGCCTATTCAGAGTTCGAAGCCGTGACAATAAACAGAAAAACATATCGCGAATTCCCACAGTCATTGGAACGGAACGAATATATATTTATAAATATATATATATATATATATTTCTTTTATATTAGCTTTTTTTTCTTTTATAAATAGGTATGATGTTTTGTTTCTAAGGATGCTGCTGCTGCTGCTGCTCCTGCAGTTGTTGCTACTGAATATAGTACATTAGATATTTACGGCTTTATTCAAAATGTAAATAAATAAATAAATAGCTACATAAATATATATGTTCGCTACATTCTGTATGCTTAATATACAACAGGATATATTTATGTATTTGGATGAGAATGATACACAGCTCAAGGGCTCTTAGATAAAAGACAAAACGCAATAGAAATTCTTTTGTTACAAACAAGAAAAACAATTATATTTGTGTACAAAAAGAAAGAAATCGGTCAGAATAGTCAAGTAAAGCAGGTTGCTTGACTAAATTGGCCTTGGAAGACAAGTACGTAAAGAGCGTATGACTAAATAATATAACTTTTAGAAAACGTTGTGGAAATGCTTTAAGCTTTAACTTGTAATAGAGCGCCCCTTAGTTTTTATTCAGTACTGCCGAATTTGGGGTAGACCATACAAGTTCAAAGGTCAGTTGAAGAAGAATTTTTATTCGGTTCAGCCTATTATAGAAAACGGTTCAAGATAGGGTCATGTCCGGAAACGGGAGCAAATATGGCCGAGTTGTTTTGCTATGCCTTTAAGTCGCTAATAAGTTCGAAGGTTTGCCCGTATTTCTGACCAACCATCATTACTGATCTCAATTGTTAATTATTAAAATGTAATAAATAGGTCAATAAAAATTAATGTAATAAAAGGATGGGTAAAACAAAAATTCAAAATGGCAAATTGGTTTTTTTTAAAGGTTAACCTGTAAAGATTTGGCCATATTGGAAATAATTTGTGGGATGAAGGGATTAACCGAGAAAGTATTAATCACCAACGAGAATTATTTTACATGAAAACATTCTATTTTCTATTCATTCTTATACATTGCCCATTGTATCTTTCGCAGCACTAAATTCGTCCTAAAACTGGAGCCAGGCAGTCAATTATAGAGAATTTATTGATTGCCTTCTCAAAATAATGCTACTTTTTTTTACGGCCTAGATTCTACCAAAAACCCTACTGTTCTTTCAGCTTATAGTCCAAGAACTGGTACTAACAAGTAATTTAGAAATATTGATTATGAACTCCCTTTAAACAGCGTTATTCACCTGAACTAGTTTCGCCCGCAACGGATGAAAAAGGCAGTGTTCTTTCAATTTTCCTAGTTTATCCAAGAACTAGCACTATATACCCATCAGGTATATAGAAAGACATTATTGATTAAGCTATTTTTCTATGTACGAGTGTTTTTTTTTTCTTTTTTATTTTTTTTTAGAGCGTCACTATCCCGCATGTTCTTCACCTTTTCTACAGTTTTTTTTTAATTATTTATTTTATGCTGAGTAAGCTTTAATAATGAGGAATAAAATTAAAAGGTGCGAATTAGAATTTTTTTCTTCCTTTTCTTTTTATTTTTTTATTTTTTATTTGTTTTTTTATATTGTTATTATTCTCGTAATAGATTTTGAAGAAGGAATATTTCTTTATCTCCTCTATTTTTTATGATTATTAATGTTTATAAATATAGTATTATAACTCATAAGAATAATATTTGTTTACAAGTATCACAATTTGTTTATTCATTTTTGAAGCACGTAAATACAAGTATTACAGTTTAATGTATATAAGTATATATATACTAATATATATATATATACCATCACATCTCACATTAAATTTAATCAAGTGTTAACAAAAAAAACAGATTGCGGCTTTTCGGAATTATATTTAAAATATCTAATCTAATACGGCATTCTGTTAACATTTTCGTAACTTATTTTTTTTTAACTGGATCCAACACTACGGTTAACAATCACTTTTTTTTGTTTTTTATAAAAAAAAAACATTTACATGTTTATCTACATATACATACATACATATATATATATATATATATAGATGTATTTATTATTATTATTATTTTTATTATTTTTTAAAGTGCTCTTAATATACTGTTACCCCTCGGTTCATCTATTGTTGATGTAATGTGTTGTTCTTGGGCCATCTTTCCGAATTTTCTTTTTTCTTGCATTCTTAATAAATCAGGTACAGTCTGAACAAAGGCCTGACAGAAATTTGCCAATAATTTATCTCTCGACGCTTTTCTATAGATAACCTCACGATCGAGACCTAATTTTGGAGTTTCTAATAACCGCATAACTGCTGCTGTAACAATGTGGCGCATGAGTTGTACGAAGGTACCATTTGTACCTGTGCTATTTCTTAGAATAGAGCATATTCTTTCGGCGCACTCTGTCGCTAATTCAGCGGCAAAGTCCATACTTTCTTGAGGGTTAGCTATCCTAGTTGATGCGGTACGAAATGCATCGACACACTTTCGAAAGGCCGAAGAGAGACAACCAGAGATTTCTTCTAGGTCATTCATCTCTGCCGATAAATCATTCTTTTTCGAATGCGAGTCAATTCCATGACAATTTTTCAAATGTAATTCAAGAATATTCTCAGAGCTGAAGGGATCCGTGCAGATGGAACATACCAAAGGACGGCTTGTTTTTGTGGTAAGATCAACTGCATCAACTGGAGAATCCTTTCTCTGCAGTTTTTCAGCGATATAACGTTTTCTTGGGTCAACACTGACCGGTGAGGGTGGCTCTGAGAGATTCGTTGAAGATGGCGAAGAAGGCGAAGATACTTGCGAATCTGGCGAAGTTGATTCAGGAGACAGAGGATTGGTCCCTGGATATTTTAAATACGGTGGTTGAACATGAATGAGAGGCGGTGGTGGAGGAATTGCACTTTCTTCCAGGAAAGGTCTCTTAGTGGGAACACTCTTTCTTGGTCTGCCCCTCTTTCGAGTCAAGTAGCCCAGATCCGGTACACCGGATTTCGCGACTTCAGCTTCGGCCTCCGCCCTCGATTGTTGTTGAATTCTTTCAATTGCTAAAGCAACATCTTGAACTTGATTCTCCTGACGGACTTCGCCAAGACCGTCTGGACTTCTTATACAAATATTACCATTTTCATTCAAATTGATAAACGCTACTGGTTTCACTGGTACGTTCTGTTCAATTCTGAGTAAACCTCCGCCACTCATCTGGTTTCGCACAGGGCATACAGGAGTTCGAATAGTCTCCAAACCGGATTCGTGACGAAAAGGGTAAAATCCCACCTGAGAAGTCATAAAGTATGTTGAACCTTGGCTTGTTTTTTTAGCGTATTGCCCAATGTCCATTATTTGGATATTCACTTTTTGAAAATTTTGTTTTTCTTGGAAGCAGAAAAAACTTAGTGTAACCTCGTCATCGATTTCAGCAGAACTGACTCAGTCGCGCCGCAGATACGTGGAAATGATCTTCATAAAATGTACCATTCGCAAATTTCGCATAAATGTCTTTTAAATTATACAAAAATATTTCAATTAATATTTAATTTATCAAAATATATATTATATATTTTTAAAGTATTGGTAGTAGATTATATTTAATAATTTACTGAGCGATAATATAGTATTCTAAAAATATAAATTTATGGAGGTAAAAGCTTGTTATTACTATGAAATTTACCAGTTTAGCTTCACTTTGGCCTAACTTTTAAAAGAAACTTTCTTAATAGATTTGATAAATATATTAATATTGTATTAGTTAAGTAGTATTATCTCTATTATCGATTTCATTTATTCTCTATTTAATAATGAATGAATAATTTTCTGATATCGGACGAGATATTCTATTTTGCTGATCTAAACTCTTGCATTATTCCTTTTCCAATATTTTTCATAAATCGAAAGATAAATTAGAACATCTAGATTACGCATTTAGATCCTACGTAGGCTGAATTAATCCAACGTTCCAATAATTTAACCTTGAGCTAATACAAAAGAAACCTTGCTCTAGCTCAACGTGAATATGAACTATTAAATTTCGATATCGGTAATTGATCAAAGACCGTAACACTAACAGCATTTACATATATGCAGGAGGCGCGGGGGAATATTTATTTAACTATCGTTAAAAAGAAAGGCAAGAGAGGAGAAAAACTGATTTAGAACAATAGAAAAGTCAATGTTATTTTCTCGGTAATTTGTTGTTAATTTAACAAGGAAATTGGAATAGTAAACGACCTAGTCCTCTAACCATTTTCTACTGATTGAATTTTTTTTATCGTAAGTTTATTATCTTAAATACGTCAAGGTTGTTCAAACAATCCTTGTCAGATAAACTGACTGTAAATACATAAATGCACACTGTTGGCCTAACATGAACAAATGTATATGAACAATCCAATAATAATGAAGTGAAAAGACATGGTGATTAGCAGTTTTCATCTTTTTTATCTATTTTTTTCTTTATTCTGATTCTATTGTAACTTTTACTGTTTCTCGTTAAAAATAGTACATCTCATATAATCTCTTATACATATATTGTTGCGCAATAATAAGATAACATTCTGATAATTATGATTTTAGCATTGTGGCAAGCTTCTTTTGTGAGTTTAGTCTAACAACGTCATCTCCTCCGCCAATGAAGTTTGCATTGATGAAGCATCTTGGTACCTAGTTTGCGAAAAGTAGAAATTATTTTTCGATATTTGCATGTAGATATATATACACATATGTGTATAGAAAAATGAATAAGCTATATAGGCTTTATAGCTGTTTTAGAATAGGAGAACATAACGGATAGCTACAGCAGTTTGCAACAGTATAATAAATTAATAAATATTAACCGATCTTGCCCCAGTTTTTTGGGCCATGTAGTCTTGTATATCACCGCATTTAACATCTTTTAAGTTTTCGATGTCCACCTCTTCGTAGTCAGATTTGTCCAGGTCACCCTATAGGATATAAGTACGCACATTTTATAGTGTAGAACTATAGGATAATAATTTTCTATATTTAAAATATAACAAGTATAAATAAATATATAGATACTTCACGGATACTGACATTATTGATTAATTCCTTGAAAACCTTCATTGCCTTCACGCAATAGGGACACCATGTCTTGACGAATATCGTTACTTTCTTTTCTTTAATTTTCTGCTCTACGAACTCCTGGGCACCTGCCATATTGGTTGATTGGTTCCCCGTTTTGAAAATTCTAAAATTAACTATGAATATTAGGAAAAACGAAACGAGTTTCACTATGACAGTTAGCTACAATTTCTCGGAAAACTGGTAGAAATAGTTATTTCTTTATAGAACACGTGTAGTCCAGGTTTTTAAAGATGGCAGCACAGTACACAGGTTTCTAAGTATACTTAAATATATATATATATATATATATATATATATTTATTTATATTCGTTTATATTGTGTGTATATATTTTGTAATAGGCTGATTAATCGAAAGGTTACATTTCATGAAAAGGACTTATGGAATGTCAAAAACCTTAAAACAAAACGATTATCAGTAATGCTAGGTTTAAAATCCCATAAATTTCCTACAAAAAATACCATCTTCAGAGATAAGTTCTCAGCGGTCATTGTCCTCTACTATTAGCTATTAATATTTTGTCCTGCTTATTGACTCTGAACATTGTATAGAGTAATAAACAAGCAGTCATGAATATGGATGAGTATGCGCTAGCCTGACGCATTTTTACGTCAGAATTGTTTACCGGGAACATTTACGCAAGATGGACAGAATTCATGGAATTAAGCAATATAGTACCTTATATCAGTTTAAATGGTTAAAAATTAGATTTTTTTTTTATATAGTTTTTGTAATATGGTTAACAAATTAACTTAGGCCTACTGCTTAAAAAAGTTCTAGTTTTTAATCGACTAATTAAATTATATATTACTGTATGGAATATATATGTGCTATGCTGTATGCACATATGTAAATGCATACGCGGTGTATTTATTTGAGATGAAAGCGCAGTGGATATTTAGGATGCTGAAAGTAGATGGCTTTTTTTAAAGGTCAAAATGTCAAATAAGAATGTGAAATATGTCTATATATATATATGTACACATTTTATATATATATATACTTTTATATAAGGGACGATGACATATAGGTTAATATATGAACAAATATTAGTTTAATGATTAATTTAATTGTACTAGTTTTATAATAATGTCCTATTGGCACAGTTTTCTATTTATGCTTACTACTACATTGAAAATATATATTCTATGTTAAAGTTCATGGACTAAGGTATTCGATTAATATTGTCTCTTCGTCTGGGATATATTGTCACATCTATCGACTGTCGGAAGTAGTGTAAGAATGGAAACAATCCTATGGGAAAATCGATATTCGAAAAGAATTAATTAGGCCTATATTAATATATGAATTTATATTTATGTATATAAAAATGCTGTATATGTATATTTTTTTACAGCTTTTATTGCTCTCTTCTCCTTACTTTAGATACCTAGAAATATACAATAGAGCTTTATAGTATTAGGGACAATAAACGAAGCCTATTCCTTCTCTTATTTTCGTTTAATGTAAAATTAATACTGCAAAATTTTCGTTTAAAGATAACAGAGAAAACAAAAATGACAAAATAAAATTTATAAGAAGGGAAATTATTAAACGAAATAAGTCGATCCGTTTATGAGGAATGTATATAGAATGAATCATATATTTTTATATATTATGTAATCGATATTATTCTGGGTTATCTGTACAAAAAAATAGGTAAAGATTAAAAACATCTCTACGTTATTCAAGGTGGCATAACAAAGATATATTAAGATATAATACTTTTTCCTTTAAGTGCTTATTTTGAGGCATTTTTAATTAATTTTTATAACTAAAGAATATATATATATATTACGTAATAAGTTACGTAACAAGAAGGTTTAGTACTTAATTTTAGATAAGAAAAAACAATGTAAAAAAAGAAAGAGCTTTTCTAATTTTTTGTTAAGTCTTAATATTTTACAGTATAAAAAAGAAGACTAGCGAAAAAGTTAACTTGTTTAATTTTATAGAAAATTCTAAACATATAAAAACGAAATAAAAAATAAGAAACCTTAAAAAAATGTATGTTTTTTTTTGTCGGCCTTAAATAGAATTAGAAATGAAGATAAATTGTACTTTTTAATTTAATTCCTCGTCCTAAAAACTGGAAATTTAAGAATCTGTTTTTATTCTTTTCGACGAAGGAGAAATTCACAATTCTCTGTATTGCCTACTTTTTTTTTATCTTCTTATGTATAAAATAATGTTGATAAAAGTTGATCTGTATTTTATTATTGAGTCGTTTAATATAGAAATGGTTTAATGATAAATGAAAAATTGTTATCAATATTAAAGCACTCGATTATTACTTTTGATGACCGATAGATCTTTGTGATATATTTTTTATTCATTACTTCAATATAAGGGCATTGACCTTATATGAATTTTTCTTCAAGTTACGTATTCTTTAATAGGCTCTAAAAGAATAGAGCAATACTATTAGAAATATCAGTCTAATAATGGATAATGAATATCATTTGAAATAATACTTCAAAGTAGAAGTGGATGGGGGAAGCGTAAGAGAAAGATAAAAAAGAGCGATTTTGAAATGACAAAATAAAATGAGAAAGTTATGAATACTAATTGCCCTATCTTAACAGCTTAATAACATATATAATTCAAAATGATCTGACAGAGGAAAAGACAAACTGAAGATATATTATTGATCTACCTAAAGCTTACTAATATAATGTCTATTGGATTAGATGAAGCACTTGTATTCTATTAATTATAATTAAATAATTAAACTTTAGTTGTTAACAATATAAATATAGGAATTTTATCAAATTTCATAGATATATGTTATTTTTTTAACTTCTATTTATAATACTTTTATCATTATTCGCAAAAATTGACTAAAATATTACACGTTTTTAAAAAAAAGAGCTCTTGAACCAATTGTGATAACATCTTTTTTGTTGCTGATAACTGAATTATGATATAATATATCCTAAAAAGATTTTGTAACACGATAACGATTAAGAGAGATAGTAACACAAAAATAAATGAAATAGACATAATATTTAGTTAGAAGAAATTAATATAAAAATAAGAACGAGGGTAGGATAGAAAAGGAATCGAGTGTTAGAGAGTTTGAGGCTAAGAAAAGAATAGGGGATGAAGAAGCGAAAAATAATAATGGTGATTTATCAGGTTTTACAAGAGATATTTTTACTTAATGACTATGTCTCATACCGAAAGAATATATTTCAAATATAGATAATTAGAAAGAGGAACGGAACTATAACTTTCCTTTTATTCCGGTTTAAAATCAATAATACTGCTCTTTTCTAATTATTAGGTGTGTTATACTATTTAATTTTTTAAACCTATCTAATTCGTTATCGTTACATTACATTTCTGTTATTCTTAGATAAACTATCAAGGTTAACTTAAAACATTTATTTATTATAATAAAAAAGAACAATATTTAAGAACTACTAAAAAGTGAAGGATAAATAACAAATACATATTTATATAGAGTGTATAGGTTTATCTAGAAATTATGTTTAATGTATATATATAAAGTAATTCGAATATTTGTATTCTAATCTAGGAAAGCATATTTTTGAATTACAATATAAACAATATTTTAATTTATTCAAATGAAAAATATTATTAATTAATGATTAATTAATATTTTAATCAACTAGAGTACTTTGTTTTAATTTCATAATCTTCATTCAAATATTCTTATATATATGTATAAATAGCTTTTAGATATATTTATATATAAACATTTCACGCACAATCGAAAAACTGAATGTATAAAAAAGTCAATAAATAAACGAATTTCTAGTATTTTATGATTTATTAAGAGTTATTTACGGCTAGAATCGATAAAAGGAGTAAAACTAGTACAATTCTGCACTAAATAATAAATTATTGATTAGCGGGGGGGTAGGGGGGGATATAATGAAATTTTTTGAAACGGTCAAATCGTTAGTCGAATAATTAAATTATCTTTTATATCGTTAAGTCCTAATGGATAATATTAACAATAAACTACAATAATTACATATATATCTAATATATATTTATATACACTTTTATATAATAAAATTTATATAGTTTTATATATCATATGCAGTGAACTGGGTATTTTGTTTTCAGCTCGTCTTTTTAGATATCAAATTTCTTTTTCTTTTCTTTTCTTATTGTTTAGTTTTTTTTTTATTTTAATTAAATAAAAAATAAGAAAAAATAAGAGGCAAACTACGTAATATGTCTGATATAAAAGAGGAAAAAATTTGACTAATAAGGTTATCCATAGGAGACAATCATCATTGTCCTCTTATTCAGACGAAGGCTATCCTTCTAAACTAACAGTGTTTTTTTTGCCATCCCCAGTACTTCTCTTTCTTTTTCTACACTGCGTTTTTGCTGAGTTTTTATTTTTCTTCTTTCTTCTATTTTTATCGTAAATCATTTTAATCCTTTAAATTTTTAAACGAACTCTCTTTTTTTATGGAAAGAACAAAAAAAATATTATTTTGACTTGCGTTACTAGTTTTTTTTAGAAGTAATAATAAAACACCTGCACATCTGTGTATAATGACAACGAATTTGTAATAAATATAATGATCTACTTGTTTGCCATTTAAGAATATATACAATATATATATATATATATATGAATTTATGTATAAGAGTCTACAGAGTATTCGTGCTGTAATCCTAATTGGTTAATTAGTGTTATTAATAATACCTACATAAACAAGAATTAGGATTAATCCCAAACGACTTTTGTCTTTTCTCTCGTTTAAAAACATGTATTTCTTTTAATTTTAATGATACATTTTAAATAGAATTGACCTCGTAAGCAACTTCAGTCGGTTCATTGCACTCTTAGAACTGTAGGCTTAATTTTTTTTTTAAACTCGATTTAGGCTTAATAGAAGAAAATTGCCACCAATTCAAGGAAAGCTTCATTGGCTGACCTCGATAAAAAACAAATTTGTTGAGTACCTGAAAAATCGAGTTGCAGTTTAACAACCTTTCAAAGAGTGAACTGGTTAAAAGATAAGTTAAAAAAACAGCGGGTAATCATATAGAAATAAAAATTCATGTAATAGTATAAGTTAATAAATTCATAACCCAAATAATCATGGCAGTGTTTTTTCTAAGGGTAAATTCTAAATGCGAGTAGAAACGATTTTCTCAAACATTATTAATTTATTGAATATATTTTGAGAAATATCTCTTAGACTGTCGTACTTTTAAATTAAACGAGGAGGGTTTTTTATCATTATTTTAAAGAACACTTATAACCTTTAAACTA